AAGAAGAAGGAGGCAAAGCCCAAAGCAGGCAGGGGATGGGCTCTGCTCTGCGTTTTTCCAGCCTGTGAGTTATGGCCTCTATAGAGAGATGAGGAGTAATGTTTTCTGTGGCACATAATTGGCAAGGTATGCTGTGTTTTCCATCTTTATATTTTCCCAATCATATTTCAGCTCATGTCACTGCAGATAACTCCCTCTCTGACCCTTTGGCTTTAAATAGCAGAAAATACAACCAATGTTTTCCAGTGAGATAAACAGAAATTTGTCTCTCTTTTATTTCACAGCTTAGTCAGTTTATGAGGGGGCTGATAGGGTGGGACAGGCTGTTTAGAAACACCCTTAGATCCCAAACTGCTGAGCACCTACTGACTTCCTGCAAGTAAATCCACTCTGCATTTTGCAGGCTTAGGCTTTGTTTCCCAAAGAGCATCAAGGTATTGCACTTCCTTTTAAAAATAAGTTTCCATTTGTAGTCTGTGTGAATGAAGTTTTTACAAAATTTTCAAATTTAAAGATTAAACTTAAACCCAAATGAAGTTAGCTAAATTAAAACCAGAATGCAGACCAGTCTGTGCAGCTGGTAGACAGGCTGATCAGCCCAAACCCAGTCTAGCAAACATTCATATCCAAACTCAGAGGCATGCAGCGAGTGTTTGCAGAATTAAGGCTCTGAGGTGTGCGTGGGGTGTGTATAACCGTGCTCAGTGTTAGGAGAGAAGCTGCCCTGGTAACACCTGTGTCTGCACCCACCTGTGACCCTCTCAGTGCTTCCCCTTGAGACACCTGGCACCCCGGCGTGGACACTGGCTGTGCAGGGCTCACAGACACAGGCACAGAGAGCCAGGGAAGGTGCTCTGCCCAGTGCAGGGTCTGCAGACAGGACTCCAGTGCTTTGGGAGAGGATCTGCATCAGCAGATGGAGCTGCAGAGATTTTGGGAGCCATCAATGCCAAGCTCTCTGCCATCAGAGCAAATGGAGCTGCAGTGTGCTGCACGCCTCACTGCAGTCCAGAAAAACACAGGAAAAGCAGGCGGATATCTCTGTCCAACAGGTGGAGAGAAGCTCCCGTGGTCCCAGAGCACCGAGGCACTGGCTAGGGCTGGGGAGAGCCCCAGGTGAGGGTGAGGAAGCAGAGCCATGGCTGGAACCCATCAGGTCCTGTGAATGGCCAGAACAAGCTCTGACTGCTGCCGGATCCTTCTCTGGAGGTTCCAGTGCTTGGAGTTGAGCTCTGGAGTGTTTACCATGGTTTGTCTGAGATAAGTAGAAGAATGTGTGATTTGGGAGCTGAAAGGAGGGCTTGTAATTCTTGTACACGTCCAGAGCAGGTTGCACGGGGCTTGGAGCACCCTGGAGTGGTGGAAATGCCCCTGCCCGTGGCAGGGGTGGAATGAGAGGAGCTTTAAGGTCTCTTCCAACCCAAACCATTTGGGATTCCATGATTCTGTGACATGTGACTCTCCACGTTTGCCTAACATCTGTAGGAGCAGCTGCCTGGCCATACCTTGGTAAAGCCACGTTTCCCCCTCAGATCCTCCAGGAATTTCAGCTCTGTGGAAATCCAAAGTAGCGGAGTAGAATTTCTACTTAAAAGTGGCAGAAGCACCCCCATGCTGAGGTCACCCTGTTTGGACACAAACCCCTGGGATCTCAGGCACTGTCACAGAAGACACTCAGGCTGGTGTGAGCTTCCCTCCCATGCTGGCATTTCTGTGAGCCAGGCCAGGGTAATGAGACTTAAAAAGTCAATCATTTATGAAAAAACAGGAACAGTTGGATGCAGACGTGACAAACCCACATCACTTTATCACTACTGCACAAGTGCCAAGGCACTTCCTACTTGGGTCAATTCTTCTAAGCATTTGCTTTGTTTACCTTGTAATCTCCAAAATTTGAGCTTTTAAAAGCTGCTAAGATTTTCTCCCAAATAAGACAAACATATAAAATAGTTTATGTAATGTAATTTATGATCAAGCTTGACACTGGCTTCTGACTCTGCTTGTACTAACTAATTTTGTATTTCCTACATTGCATTTTTCTCCCCTCTAAAAAGCAAAATAAGTGCTCAGCCTCTACAATGCTGAGTATGTCAGATTCAAGTGATTTCCCAGTGGTTTTTGTTCTAGATCTTGAAAATAACTTGTGCTGAACAAAAATAATCTGATCAAAATCAAAGGGAAAAAAGAACCACATGCAAATTCAACTCAGAAATATTTCTTTGACAATGTCCCATTTGCTGCTTTGTGGAGCAGAAACCTGGTGTAATGCAGTGCTGCCCTCTGAGAGATAAAGGGGACTTCTTATTGTACACTGTTTGCCAGTGCCTTTTTCATAGTGTTGTGCTTACAGTAGTGAGGGTGCTGGTGAGTGTAAACTGGAGGAGGACCTCAACTCCAAATACACCTAAAGCCTGGCATTTCTCTTCTACATTCAGATTTTTATAAAAAGCCAAGAGTTCTAGAAAGCTTCATCTGAAATTTCCATGGTCAAAACAAAACATGTTATGATTTTTTTTGTGTTTAAGTAAGGAGAAACAAGGAATCCTTTGAGGAAGTCAGGTAATTGACTGTTCCTTAATATTTATTAAGTTCTTTAATAAATGCAGCATGTTGCAGCATTAGGGATACTGCCTTTGCTAATAGAAGGCACAAGGTTGACTATTAACAGATTGTGATAATGTCATCTTGTTTTCCATTTTACTTCCTCGATACAAGGAAATGAACATTTATCATTAAAAGAGACAAGCAGAGAAATCCAGATCATATTACAAGAAAGGGATGCAGCCAAGGCTGAAAGCGTAAGGTTTCCTTCCCAAGTGATGATTTTTTTGTGAAATGCAATGAGCAGCAGAAATGGGCTTGTTTCATGGGTAACAAACTCTTGCCAGCAGCTGAGGTCTGCCAGGACTCAACTGATGAGCACTTGGAGAAGGGAAGCAGATCTTCCCATCTGCACTCCCCTAATTAAGAGCCTGATTCTGATCCTATTCAACAAGGGTGCGTTTTGACATTGGAGAAATAAGAGTAGGACAAGTTCTTGATTTGGGAGATCCAAAAATTTTTAAGGGCTGTTTGACATACATGGGCAACCTCTGCAAACCTCCTCAGGCTGTGAAGGGGCCTCTCTCAGCTGAACTGGCCCCCAAAGCCTCACAGATCCCGTAGGGCCCACGTGTGGGAAATACACACACCAGGATGCAACAAAACTTCAAAAAAGAGAAATTAAATCTTAGATTTAAAGTGAGAACCCCCCCTCAGGAAACAGAAACCTGTCATTATGGCCTTGTTGCACAAAGTATTATTGGCCCAACCTCTGTCTTGCAGCCCTCTGGTGAGGCTGTTACTTCACCTTGCTCTGGTCACGGTGCCTACAACAGATCAGGATTTTTTTTTCATTTTATAAGAAATTTTGAAACTAAACCCAAGACTTATTTCATTGAGTCAGCACAGATGTCAGTGTTGAAAACTTTTGGACACCTACACTGTGAAGAAATTGTCCCAGTTGAGTTAAAATGTTTTCAGAACATGAGTCAAACAGAAGCAGTAGTCCTGTAAAAATACAATTTAGTGTAGAATTAAATTTTAAAATAAAATCCTACTTCTGAGCTGAGTTTTTAAAAGGTTTAATATGGGTGCTTTAACAACTTAACCCCCAAGCCCACCTGTTTTGTTTTCCTTTCTTTCTTTATTTTTGAGCTCCAACATTTGCCACCTCATCCTTTTGTTTTAAGTTTAGTTTGCCTACTTCTAATATCAGCTGGAAATATAGAGATGAAGCTGCCTTGATGCTTTGGAGTGACCCCGTAGAACAGAGGCTAGGCAAGGTTAAGAGAATAAAGTGGGAATTTATTAAAGGCCTTTAATAGGGACACCTTGGGCAGCCAGAAGCCTCCCAGGATGGACGGTGGTCATGAGTTTTTCAGACAGTTGTAAATTTGGCCCATTTATATATCACGGGTTAATTCTTCAATTACAGCTGCAGGTAATGAAGTCATTTACCCCCAGTTTCCTTCTCCCCATTCACTTTTGTTTATACTTTTCAGAGCATGAGGCTGTAGGATGTCCTTGAGTTTCAGTCCTAGAGGGATTTTTTGTCTGACCAAAATGTGGAGACAATTAACTAACACTCTGTATGGAGTTTAGGGTTATACATTGATCAGTACAGGATTTGAAACATATAACAGCTAAACTCCAAAGGCATCAGCCTGAACAACACTTGATCTCCGCTTGCCTCCTGGATGGCCATTGCTTTAGAGATGAGCATCCAGCAGGTGAATCCCAGAGGAGCAGAGCCTGTTCATAGAGCGGCTTTCCAGCATTTCCAGGAGCTGGCGGTGCTGTGTCTTGTCAGGCCCTGCCATTCCCCTTTCATGGAGTGGCTTTCCAGGAGCAGGCGGTGTTGTGTGCCCACAGGCCCTGCCATTCCCCTGTTCATGGAGTGGTTTTCCAGCATTTCCAGGAGCAGGCAGTGCTGTGTGCCCACAGGCCCTGCCGTTCCCCTGTTCATGGAGTGGCTGTCCAGGAGCAGGCGGTCTTGTGTGCCCACAGGCCCTGCCATTCCCCTGTTCATGGAGTGGTTTCCCAGGAGCAGGCGGTGCTGTGTGCCCACGGGCCCTGCCATTCCCCTGTTCATGGAGTGGTTTCCCAGGAGCAGGCGGTGCTGTGTGCCCACGGGCCCTGCCATTCCCCTGTTCATGGAGTGGTTTCCCAGGAGCAGGCGGTGCTGTGTGCCCACAGGCCCTGCCATTCCTCTGTTTACGGAGTGGCTTTCCAGCATTTCCAGGAGCAGGCTGTGCTGTGTTTTGCAGGCCCTGCCATTCCCCTGTTCATGGAGTGGCTTTCCAGGAGCAGGCAGTGCTGTGTGCCCATAGGCCCTGCCGTTCCCCTGTTCATGGAGTGGCTTTCCAGCATTTCCAGGAGCAGGCGGTGCTGTGTGCCCGCAGGCCCTGCCATTCCCCTCGCCGTGCCCTGCCCGCTGCTCACGGCCATTCTCCTTGCAGGAAGCAGAGAGGCCGCCTTCACCTACGCCATCATCGCGGCCGGCGTGGCCCACGCCATCACGGCGGCCTGCACGCAGGGCAATCTCAGTGACTGCGGCTGCGACAAGGAGAAGCAGGGCCAGTACCACAAGGAGGAGGGCTGGAAATGGGGCGGCTGCTCCGCCGACATCCGCTACGGCATCGGCTTCGCCAAGGTCTTCGTGGACGCCCGGGAGATCAAGCAGAATGCCAGGACGCTCATGAACCTGCACAACAATGAGGCCGGGCGCAAGGTGAGTGGCCCTGCTGTCCCCGTGTCCGTCCTGGGGCTGGGATGGGTTTGGTGTCCTGCTCAGCAGAGCCACGGCACTGCTGTGCTGCCATCGTTCACAGCAGACAAGTAGGCACCTCTGCAGGTTGTTGGACAGTCTGCTCATCAAGCATTTGTCTAAATGTTACTCTTTGCAGCTGTAAGAAAGGAAAAAAAAAATCAAACAAGTGTTTTATCTGGGAAGTCAAACGGTACTTCTGGTAAAAAGCTGCCTGCTGCTGTGTGGGTTAGCAGGAGTCTTGTCAGGTTCAGACATGAACGTCTCACTCAGCTGAAAAGGGATCATTTTCAACCCTGTTGTTCAAATGTTGCTCTTTGTGTGAGAGCCGCCCCTGCAAGGAGGAAAAGGCTTCAGCAGCAAGACCCTGGGCTGAGTCCTTGTCACTCCGTGTCACACTGTGACGTGGATTTGGGTTCAGAACAGCAGCATTCCCACACACCCCATCCTTTGGGACTGAGAGCAGCTGCTGCAGAGGCAGCACTGGGGAAGGCAGGACTCCAGCAGCTCCCACACACAGATTTCCTGGGGATCCCAGGCACTGAACACCCAGGGTTTGCTGTCTTGGCCGTGTTTCTGATCTCCAGTGGCAGCCAGGCCAGGGACAGGACCCAGCCTGGTCGGAGCTATGCTCCCCAGGTGCCTGTGGGCCAGGCATTCTCAGGCAGTCCCAGTGGGGCCGTGGCTCCAATTCCAGCAGCTGGAATAGCCAGGGTTGTCTATGTGCTCCCCACAGCCCGGGTACAGCCCAGCAGGGCTCTCTCTGCAGGAGTTCTGCTGATCCCATCTCCCAGGGATGTCAATCCTTGCTTCCTCAGCTCTCCTTTACCTCTTCCTATGCAATAGTCCTGATTCCAGCATCATGTGAGTGTGACTTAGAGGCAAATGGGAGAAGGAAGTTGGGAGCAGCAGTTAATTTGTGGATGCTATTTTTGTTGTGGTAATTACCTGTAGGCTCTGAGACATCTCCAGTTATGCTGGAGCCGGGCAGATTGTATTGAAGAAAAGTCATTTCCACCCCAAACAAAAGCCTGACCCTTCTTTAATTTAATGCTATGTAGAAGTTTTATAGATGATATTCTGGGTTTTACTCTGTGTAGTATCCCAAATACCTGTCTGGCTCTGTGCTGAGAAAACTTGTACTTCAACACAGCAAAATGAACCCTGAATTCCGAGAATAACTCAAGGATTGAGCATTAATATTTGAAAAATGAATGGTTCTGAGATCTTTATTACTTAGCTTCTGGTAGCATGAGGCACATCCTGAAAATCCTGATGAAGCACCAACACCCACAGTCTGTTCTGCTGTATGAGCATAGACTCAGTGAAACAAAAAATAGCAGAGGAGTTTCACCTTTGTGGCAAAGCTACTTCCTCGAAAGGTCTGCTTGTATTTGATGGGTGCTGGCCGTAAAAGATTCCTAGGAAATTACACACCTGCCTACACCAGACTGCAAACTCGGCTGGAACTGCCTACTGGCCAGAAATGTTTCCCCAAAGCAAAGCTCAAAAATGCAGACAAATAGAAAAGTTGTGTTTTTTTATCTCGGTTGTCCTCCAGGTATGGACCTTGGGCAGAGGAGGGCCATTGGTGCTGCAGGTGGCTGTGGGAAGGCTGGCTCCAGGAACCTCCCCAGCCTCCCCTCCAGGCTCCTCGTGTTTCTCACCTTTCTGTGCACAATATGCTGTCCTGGAAACTTGTGCCTGGAAGGTTCAGCTCTCCACATTGTAATCTGGGAGAGCAGTGGTTTGTGCTATCTCTGGCCATCTGCCATTTCTCCAGCAGGCTCAGGAACTGCTCTGATCTAGAGATAGCTCTGCGCTTCTTCCTGCATCCTCACAGAGCAAAATTGCACATCTTTGTTTGAACACATCTCTGCTTGAAATCTGCAGGGGAGAGAAAAGAAAGAGTAACAGAACTGAGGAGAGGGCTTGCTGCTCCACTGTCCTGTAGAGAATGAACAAATGATGTTTTTGCTAGAGAGATTTCTTTCAGGCTTTGCCTCTGTGTGAAAGATCACAGTATTTAAAGACAATTGGCAGGGAAGGCCATTACAGGTATTTGGCATGCCAGGACTCTCACAACCTGACTCTTCCACAACAAAGACAGCCTTGTTGTGAGGTGGAACTCCACTTTGGAGCAATATGGATCTTATCAGCCTCCACACAATCTATTCATGGTGGCTTTCCTCTGGGCTACAAATTCTTGTCTTGTTTCACTTGCCCATGGCTAGGTTTTGATGATATTTATACACTTTGGAGACAGACTGGCACCTACCAGGCTTCCAAAAATAAATCAATTCTTATTGATTTCTTACCACCACCTGTAGGCACTGCTATGGTGTTCAAAAGTCAGTCCCTCTACTTTGGTCTTGTAATGTGAAACTGTGCTGTGCCCACTCACCTGGTGCTCACCTGTGACAAGCTCCTTCTTCAAGGTGACACCTGCTGCAAGTGGTCCAGGATGCACTCTAGAACAGCACAGATCCATCAATATCGAGTTGTCTTCTTGAGAACCACTGATAAAATCATCCATTCCATCTTGGCAGGTGAGAATGGTCTGCTGGGCTTACTGGGAGCACTGGGCACAGAAGGGACTGCAGGGTATGAACTGACAGAGAGCCACCAGGGAAAGCCTGATCCAGGATTTGTGGAGACCTCAGTTCAAGGCTTCCCAGCCTCTCACAGTCCTGTTTTACCCAGGCAATTTCTCTGTGCTCCCTGGGGTGCCAGCAGCAGCCTCTGAACATCCTGAAGACAGAGCAGGGATACAGTTATCCAGGGAATGGGCACAGCCCCAAGGCTGCCAGAGTTCCAGGAGCCTTGGAACAACACTCTCAGGGATGCCCAGGGTGGGATTGCTGGGAGCCTATGCAGGGCCAGGGGTTGGACTGGGTGATGCCTGAGGGTCTCTTCCAGCTCAGGATTCTCTGTAATTCCACAGTCTGTCAGTTCTTGCTGGAAGTGAGACAACTGAGGGTGTCAGATGTGGAGGATTTCAAAGGTCGTAGGTGGAGAACATCCCTGTTCCTTTGCTGAACAGCTCGGGTCATGCAGTGCCTGGAGAGCCCCGGGGCACGCCCAGGATGCACTGAGGAGCAGCCCTGGGAGCAGAGTGGGGGACACAAGCCATTCCCAGCTGCTCCCCACCACAAATGCAGCCAGGGGTGCCCGTGGGTCCTGCAGCCAGGGCCAGCTTTGCTCAAGCTGAAGGACAGGCCTCTGTGTTTCTCTGTCTGTCTGTCTGGGGGACAACCCAGCAGGACTCACTTGTGTAGCACAAGTTCCTTGGGCTGCTGGAAGGGCAGGGGCAGAGTTCTGAGCAGGGGTCACCAACACCCCACCAAACTGGCCCGAGCAGCCCCAGAGCCTTACCTCATTTGTCAAACCTACCGGAGAGCAGCAATTCCTGACCTTCAGAACCAGAGTTTAGGGTGTCTTTCCTCTTTGAATTAGTGTTTCCTGAAGTGCTGATTCACTGCAGGAAGGAGCAGGCAGTACAGTGAGAACAGGAGGAGAATTCATAACAGCTGGGTCAGAAAAGGGAGATAAAGCTTCAATTAATTTAAAGGCATAATCCTTATTTGCCCTGCAAATTTCCATGTGAGGGGGTATAATTGCAAGACTGAATTGTCTGTTAGCAAATTTGTCTTCTCAAATATGAAGTTGATTAAATTACTGTAAGTAACACAATAATGTATGTCTGAGAGATATTTATACTCCAGGAAACAGAAATGTTATTCTCCAGGTTATCCTGCTAAAAAATAACGAAGTAGATACTGAAAGGCTCTACACATTCTGGCTGTAAGCAATTCATTCTGACTGCATGGCAAGGTACATGACCAGACTGCTCTCTCCTCTCGTTTTCCCTGTGACATTGAAATTCCACAAATGGCATCTTGCATCAGCGTTACATCATATTAAGTATAATGCAATATTATGAGTCATTGTTATAAATCATGGGCAAAGGCTGCATTAGAAGGCTTTTGCCTTCAAGAGCACATCAAGGTGGATTTTTATTCAGCATTTCTCTTTGGAGGCATGTGTAGGTGCACTAACTTTGCAATGTCTCTCCATCCTCTGCATCAGGAGCATTTCAGATTTCCCCTTCAGCTCCGAGGCTCCCGGGGGATGTGGAGGATGTGCCTGACAGAGCTGCTGCAAACAGCAAGCAAAGCTGGGAGCACCAGGAGGTGTTCCTGAAATGGATCATGCAGGGATCACAGTAGGCTAGAGTGTTTAATGTTTTATCCTGTAAAAAACTGCAGCAAGGCTGAAGTGACACACTGGCATTCGGAAAGCAGGGAGCTCAGGGCTGTCATGGAAAGCCACACTTGTGGGACTCTTTACTTGCTGATTCTTTGGCCTCAGGAGGACACTGCTGCCATGAGACTTCCTGAACATGTCCCTCTTCTTGTGGGGTGTGCAATCACCACTGCAATCAACTCTCTCTGGAGGGGACAGCTATTTCACCTCTCTAAAAATAACTTTTTCTTTAACTACCCTTTCACCTGACTACCAGCAGCAGCAGCACAGAACACAACCTCCTGCAGATGAATGACTTAAAAAGCTGTGAGCATCATGTTAGGAAAAAGACATGGCTGATAAAAGAGGCTGCCAAACAACATGGCATTTCTATTTTTCTGAATATAGGCCTGAAATTCTGAAGATTTAATAGTTCTGCCTAAGCAAAATCTTATAGCACAAAAATATGCAGTGGAAGGGGAGTGCAGCTTGTGGGCTTGCAGCCTCACTGGAGTGGCCCTGCCTGGGGAAGACCAGTCTTGCAGAGGGACCCCAGCATTCCAGCAGCTCCTGGTAGGAGCTCTGCTCCCAAAAGATGACCAGGGATGCTGGTCTGCTTGGCAGGCACAGCTGGGTGCCAGGGGGACACAGAGGCACAGAGGAGCCAGGAGATTCCTGCCACAGGGATGTGGCTGCTGTAAGCTGGCCCTGAGCAGTGC